AGACTGTGGGAGAGGGGGCAGGGCGGGATGGGTGGAGGAGGGCAAAGGGAAAAACTGAGACAACTGTAATAGAATAAACATGATTTAAAAAACAATTTAAGTATAATTTACACACCATGAGCTTTACTCATTTTAAATGTATGACTTAATAACTTTTAGTAAATTTACACAATTGTACAACCATGATCAGAACCCAATTTTAGAACATTTCCTCAAACTTAGCATTAACATTATTACCAGTGAATTTCTCCATAAAGTCTCAGAGTTTATGGGAAGAAAAGAGGTAACTTTCCTGTAACCCTGCACCTGGATCCCATTACTGGCCCACACCATGAATTCACGTTCTTAGGGATCTTGTGATTGTCTAAAGAATAGTCCGATTTTACAATTTTCCTACCCGGCGCGCTGCGCGTCAAAAACCTTGACGTGTTAATCCTCTCTTTGTCACTAATCCTTTTGGAATCTCTTCATCGCATAACATACCCACAGACTCAGAGAATGGAAGCAGCCCAGACGTCTCTGCACGTCCGAAGGAGCCGGAGACCAGAGAGAAAGGGGAGAACACATCAGGCTCAGGCAGGCCGAGCACCCTGTCCGGCCCCCCTCACTAACGGGTGGCGTGGGTAACACTCAACAGCTGCCGTGGAGCCCGGGCGGTCAGCCCACCCACAGGTAGCGCTCACATCCCACAAAGCACTGATAACTCTTGGCTTGCCTGACCAGCCCTTGGAAACACACACATCCTACCAGCTTCTGGAAGGGTCTGCGGCAAGACCGCCGTGGTGCCGGGACAGGGGAGCATGAGGTCAAGGGGGCTGTAGGGGCTGGGGACGGGAGGAAGCTTCTGACCTTGCTGAGGCCTTGGGAGTTGGAGTCATCCCCAGAATGTGCGTGACTTTCATACTCAAGGGCAAGGGCAAGGGCATGAGGGGCTCTGGAAGCCAAATATGAGAGGGCTTTGAACCGACTGCCTGTGGGTTCTTCCTGTCCTTGGTCAGCAGAGCAGCAAGAGCAGACCGGGTGGGTTTCGTGTTCCTCCAGCCTTGCCCTCGGCCGTCCCCCGGGTGAGGAAGGAAGAGGGCACAGAGGAGCAGGCCGGGGAACTGGGGTCCCCGGGGCAGCCTGTCAGTTCGGGTTCTCATGGCCCCCGTTGCCCAATACACTCTTCCTCCGCATGCTCACCGTCAGCAGTTCGGGCACCCTCCACTGCCTCTCCGAGCCCTTCCCCGACCCCGCGCAGCACCCCCGACGGAGTCACGGTATGTGCACAGATGTTTGGGGGTTAATAGGATACACACATTAAACATGAGGTGCGGGTAAGTTACCTCCTCTGAGTTGTGAGGAGCCGCGGTGGACGTGTGTCCATGGTGGCCGGTCAGCACCCACAGCCTGAGTGATGTGCATGGATTCCCGTCTCCGTCCTCACGTGAGCCTCCTGTGAAGTGGGTGTGGGCGCAGAGCCGTGTTCGCCATTCACAGAAAGGGAAACGGACTGCTCAGGGCTGCCCGAGTGGCTAGAATGCAGCTCAGGGCCAGGACCCGGGGCCGGGCCGGACAGCCCCGCTCTGCCCCAGGGTCACGGTCAGGGGCCCTCCCAGGCCCCGGCCGGCTCCCTAACCTGCCTCGGCCCTGCTCCTGCTCCCCGGAGGGATCCCAGGGTATTGCCTGTGAGGCAGGAGATGCCGGGGGATCTGGGAGAGGCTGAGGCGTCCTGCAGCTTCCATGGCAGGTGTGCTGAGCCTGGTTTTCACTGAGGAGGAACATAAATGAAGTGCAGGGACCTGAAGTGCTCCCCTGGGCAGACTTTCACATCCTGTCGCCACTCTCACCGTTGTAAATTCTGTCCCTTTCTCCGCCCCTCCCCCCCGGGGGAGTAGAGTGTGGCAAGAGGAGAGAGGCCTTGGTTCTGGCTCCCTTTCCCTGGGAAGTACAGTGGGCACGTGAGCCTGGGGCTGTGGGGGCCCCTGGGAGCCCGCTTTTGTAAGTCTTGCGTTCTTACCAAGAAAAGGAGAGCAGGTGGTGACAGCCCCCATCTACGTGATCAATTACAGAAACAGACATTGTAGGGGACAGGGGTGAGAAGGGGGGAGCGAGGGGGGCGCGGGGGCCTGGAGGAGGCTCGGGAGTCTTCCGAGGAGCCACCTCCCCAGCTGTGGAGCCCCAGTCCCTGGGACAGTGACATTGAGGAGCTCAAGACTGCGTCCCCAGATAGGGCCAGGCACAGGCCCATGCCGGGGTGGGGGTGCTCCCCTCCTGAGCCACCCCCGGGGGCCCTGCTGTGCCCCGCAGACCCCCACCAGAGCAGGCCTCAGCTCCCCGGCCCATCTGCTGAGCCACAACTTCCTCTTCCTCTCCATTTACTCCACAGTACACCCAGGTCCAAGCAGAACAGCATGTTTATAGGGCAACGTGACCGGCTGGTTGTAGGCTGTGGGGTGCACAGGAGCAGGAGTTTTTCAAGCTGCCTTGAAGGTCCAGCCACATAGGGTAGCTGTCTCAGAACTGGGCAGGAGGGTGGGGTGTGGGCCCTCCCCGGAGTCCAGCAGACAGGCTGGTGGGCCAGATTGGGGCAGAGCCAGGCCGCGGATGCACGTCTCACCCAGGCTCCTGGAGAAGGGGAACCAGAGGCTCCCAGCACTTTGTCCCCCGTCCCTACCGCCCCTCCCCCGACCGTTTCTCACCCAGTCAACCCATTTGCCTCGTGGACACAGCAGTTATCAATCCCCAAGTACATCTGCCCGTTCAACCGCAGTCAAAGCACCTGAGGGGTAGTAGCGACAGCTCACCCAACTGTCAGGCTCTTCTCGCTGCAGCCTCATCTTGTGGCCTCTCCCTCTCCACTGCGGGAGGGGGGCAGCTTCCTGGCCGCACTTCAGGCTGCACTTGGGCCCCTCACACAGGGGGAGGAAGAGGCAGAGGGAATGGGGAGCCACCGGTCGCCCTGGAGAGAGGGCAGCTCTGACCTGTGCCGTCCTGCAGGGGGGAGTTCTGAGAAGCCCACAGCCAGTCACCCCCAAATCTTTTCTAGGACCCCTACAGTTTGCAGGACTCAAAGCTGCTGCAGGTCTGCCTGGAGAGCCCCACCCGGCACCAGCAACGCCCTCCCCACTGGACACCGCGTCCACACTGGGAAGAGGCTCCCAACCCAGCGGGAGGCCTTGTGGGTGCAGGACCCACCTGAGAAAGGGGCTCGGGCCGGCACCCCGGTCTGCAACCCAGGCACGTGCCCTGACTGAGAATCGAACCGGCGACCCTTTGGTTGGCAGGCCAGCGCTCAATCCACTGACCCACACCAGCCAGGGCCCATTTCCTTAATTTTTAAAAATTGAATGTATTGGGGTGACATTGGTTAATAAAATTATATCAGTTTTGCGTGTACAGTTCTACAATACATCATCTGTTCATTGCATCATGCGTTTACCACCCCAAGTCAAGTCTTCTCCCACCAGCATTTACCCCTCCCCCTTACACTCTTCTACTCCCCCCTCCCCCCTTCCCCTTCCTGAATCTTCTGACTCCACATAGACAGGCTGGGATGGGTGTGTCAGCGTTCAGTTCCCCTGGCCCCTTTCTCTCCGCGGTAGCTCCAGCGGGTGTCTGTTCCCAAGGAGAATCAGATCCCACTGGGCACATAAAGTCTGCTACTCGGGATCGAATCCTAGTTTCCCGTTGCTTTTCATTAAAGATGTATTCCGGGGCCCTAAGGATATAGTTGCCTCACATTGGAGTATTTCATAATTATTATACTATTTCTTCCCACAGAGGAGCTGTTATGAGCGGCGTGTAACGTGAGGCATGGGCTTTGTTCAAGGGCACACCGGAGGCAGGTGGGGGAGCCAAGGAGAACCCAGCCTCCAGCTTCTCAGTCCAGGGCTTCCCCTCTGAACCTTGACATCTCCCCCTCCCCCCACCCCCCCAGCCGAAGCCATGCTTTTCAGGGGTTGAATTGCAAAATATACATTTCCGGGGAAGCTTTGCGAACACTTGACACATGTAAACTAACCAGTGTGACACCTCCCTTTTCCTGTCCCGGTCAAGGTCTAGGTGTTCACAAGTGTTGTTCCTTAGTCTGTGAGTGCATCGCTGTAGAAGTCCTCCCCATTCCCACCGAAGTGCCGGAGGAGCCTTCCCGCAGGAGAACCAGCACATTTCTTTGATTGCCTTGTCCTCCCCTGGGGACGGTGCCTTTGTGGGCAGAAGGGCTTGCCGAGTCCCCGATCTGTGTCCGGTCCTGAGCTGGGTCCAGCGAGGCGCTGCCCAGGTCAAGGTGAGGATGCATTTCCAAGACTGGAGAGCATTTGGGGACTCTGAGGTCCTTGTGCCAGCTGGGGCATCCGGGCCTTGTGCTGGGGAGCCATGGAAAGGGAGCTCCCCAGGGTGGCCTTCCTGCTGGCGACCCTCCCCACAAAGTCCTGCCCTGACCACTGTTACGGAAAGCCAGACTCAAGACACGATTCAGGGAACGGAGTAAGCCTTTATTCACACGCGCGGGCTCAGAGGAGGCAGTCTCCAAATTCTGAGCCCCGAATCGGGGTTAAATAGGGGTTTATAAGCCCTAGCATTCCGGCGGGAAACGGATGGGCTTCCCAGGTGGGGGAAGGGATTAGCATTCAGGTGGGAGATTGATGAGATTGATGTGCTACCCAGGCGGGGGAAGGGATGTGAAAACGGGCTACAGGAACAGATAAGCAATGATTAACAGTTAACCTGGGAGGGGTCTCTGGCTAGGCTGCTCCTCTTAAGTCATCTTGCCCTTATCAACCACCAGAGGAAACGTGTTGGGGGTGGTTACTGGGCCCAACTCGGAGGAAACATGGCTATGCACTTCTGGAGGATGTCAGAGAGGGGGGATGCAAATTCCAGGGCCTCTCAGCCAGTCCCCCAGGCTTCCTCCATTTTCTGACCAGCTCTAGGAACAAAACCAAAACCAAGTTGAACGAGGAAGCAGCCGGCACGAAGGAAAGCAGAAGTGGGAGTCTCGGCGGGGGCTGGATGGTCCACCCTGAGGAGGACAGAAGCCCCGGGTCCAGCTGGGGCTGGAGCTGCTGCAGGTGACCTCCTGCAGAGATGGGGGCTCGGGCAGCTCTGCTGCTTCTCTGGGTCCCAGGTGAGAGGCCGCTGGGGGAGGGCCGGCAGGGGTGGCGCAGGGCCCCCTGCGTGACTCAAAGCAGCCCCCGTCTGCATTCCGCGCTGAGCTCAGGATGGGGCGCTCTCTGTCTGCTGAGTATGAAGGACAGACGGAAGGACTGCATCCTGGGGAGCAGAGGAGGCGAGGGCCTGGCTTCTTTGGTGTCCACCTGATCTTAGATGAGCCACAGTGGGGATGGGACGTGGGGCAAAGGGTCGGGCGCGGGAGAGGGGCTTTCTGGGAGGTGGAGAGGCCGCCCTGAGCACGCCTGCGGGGCTGTTTTGATGGGAGGTGCCCCCCTGGGTCAGGGGTTCCAGGGTGTGGAGGAAGCGCGGCGGCTAGGCAGGGGCAGACTATGGTCTCGGGGATATGGGGACGTGTAGATATCAGGGCCCCTTGAAAGGACAGAGCCTGGGGACCAGCAGGGAGATGGGGAGGAGGGCAGGCTGTGGGAGGAAGGACGGGGAGGAGGCTTTCCCCAGGGAGAAAGACCGGGACCTCCCCATCCGCACCCCGCATTTATCTCCTACACCTCCCCAGCCAGGCCCTGCAGCCTTTTTGGTTGTTTTGCTCATAAATGAATGGTGCGTTTTCTCTGATTCCACCTGGTAACTAGTTGTCTGTCAGGAAGCTATGACTTTTTGTGAATTAACTTGGAAAGAGTCCTCCTCTGCCCACCACTTGTCCACTGACCCTCCCTGGTGCTCTCGTATTTTCTGGGATCTGACACCTGCTTCCCTCCTCGCTTTCTCTCACCGGCCACGAGTGTGGACGGCCAGGACGATGCCCAGGCCGAGGCGGCATGGCTACCCCCGCCTGGTCCTGGGCCCAGGCAGAGGTCCAGTGCTTCCCATGAGGGCTGAAGAAAGTGTCTGCCTGTGTCTCTTTATGAAACATTTTAAAATCAGCAGCAACAGACGTCGGGTGCCTTTTCGTTATCTGTAGGGATGACGATACTTTTCTCCTTTGAGCCATTAAGGTGGTGAATTATAGTAAAAGATTTGGCCAGATGTGAGTCTGAATATATCATTCTGACTTCAGAAAAGAATTGGGGAGGTTTTCCTGTTTCTATCTTCTCTGCAAATGCTTAAATGCAATGGAACTGCTTGTAGCTTGAAAGGTTGAAAGAAGTAACTTGGAAAACTGTCTGGGTTTTGCTTTTCCTTTTTTCTTTTTCTTTCTTTCTTTCTTTCTTTCTTTCTTTCTTTTTTTTTTTTTGGAGGGAAAAAAAGTCTCCTCTACCCCCCAGCTTTATTGAGGTATATTTAACAAATAAAACTGTATATTTTCACTGTGCATGTGATGCTTTGAGATATGTACACACTGTGAAACGACCAGCACATTGTTTCACGTAGTGGTCACTGGGAAGGGTTCCATGGTAATACTCATCGCTATTGGTCTACATTAAAAAATGTAAATATATGCTGATAATTTATATTTTCCTAGAAGATCACCAGTTTCATCCAAATTTGCAGACTTTGTAGAAACTTGAGAATTACCCTGGTTAATTTTCTTTCTAGTTGCGTGTGTGTGTGTGTGTTTCTTTTCCTTTTCTCCTTGATTAGACTACCCACAAGAACGTCTATTTTATTATCTGTCTCTCCCAAAAGAAAAATCCGTTTTTCAACGTGCACCCTATTGGCACTCTTTTTCTGTTTCGCGATTCATGGATTTCTGCTTTGGCTCTACTCTCACCTTCCTCCTGGGCTGGGGGTTCGCGTGCGCCCCCTCTCCTGACTGCCTGAGTTGGAGGATTTGCTCCTTTCTCTGGGGTTTAGTGGGAAGACATGTTGTGACCCTAAAGTAAACAACAGGACAACAGAGGAAGCTTCTGGTGGAAGAGTTTTGGAAGAGGTGAGGACCTGACCCCAGCCAGGGTGGCCTCCAGGCCCCCGCGTGCCTGCCTAGCAGGCAGGGGTTGGCGCTAAGTGTTGGGGTCAAACAAGGGAAGGCCAGACTGAGAGGGCTGTGTGCAAGCGCTTTGGCTCCGCCTCTAGGGATGGGAGTGGGGCCGACGGCAGGTTTTCTGACACCTCCCTGTCTCTAAGTTATAATGACACCTTCACAGGGGCAGAGGCTTTGGGGAGAAAATGGGGACATTTTTGCACCCAAGATTTCAGATGTAAAGTGGAGAAAGGCAAATGGGGAGGGACAGAGGAAAGGGGGAAGGGAGGGAAGGAGAAAGGGAGGAAAAGAGAGGACTCGTAAGAACAAGGAGAAAGGGAGCCTTGGCCGGTGGCTCAGCTGGTTGGAGCACCATCCCCAGCACCTAAAAATGGTATGGGTTCCATCCCCAGTCAGGGTGTGTATGGGAGGCAACTGATCAGTATTTCTCTCTCACACTGACATCTCTCTCTCTCTCTCTCCCTCTCTCTCTCCCTCCCTCCCTCCCCGCCCCTGGAGTGAGGATTTGGAAAAAAAGACCAAGCACAAAGGAAATCAGAGAGGAGAGCCAGACAGACAGGCCGGATTGGTGTTGTGGGCGGGGGGCGGGGCGGGGGTGATGGGGTGACCCAGATCGCGGGGAGCCAGGGCCCAGGCAGAGAACGATGACAAAGAGAGGACAACTGAGGAGCGGTAGGGAGGACAGGCACAACACTGGGGCCAGGGACGTCATCTTGGGTGATGAAGGGAGCGGGCGTCTGTCTACTGAGCCCTGGGTCTGCGTCGATTTTAGTGGTTTGTGTTTTTCTAGGAAATCGCGTGTTCATCCAGATTTACACACTTACTTGTACAGAATTTCTGCAAAGTACCGCCTTGATTCTCTTTGTTCCCTCTGTACCTGTGGTTATTTTCTCTGTTTGTGTCTTCGTTTGGCTAGACAGAGGATGAACTGTTTGATTCGATTGCATGGTATGAAATTCCTGGTTTCTTCATCAAAAACAGCTGGGTTTCAGCAGTTTCATACATTTCAACCTAATATTATTTGCCAGGCATTTTACACCTGTTATCTCACTCAATGCCCCCAATGCAATGTGAGGCCTGCCAATTATCACCACTTTACAGATGAGGCACTGGAAGCTCAGAGAGGTTAAGTAACTTGCCCGAGAACACACAGCTGCTATGTCACAGAGCTGAGACATAAGCTCTGGTGCCCTTTTTAAATGTCACGCCTGTGGCGGGGCCGAGAAGACCTTCGCTGCAGGGACCTGCTCACCCAGGCCGGGGGAGGAGGTCCTGATGGGCCCCCTGTAGAGGGACCCACAAGGCGCTGTGGTCATGGCACCAGGGACACAGAGCTGCGGGCGGTGGGGGAGGGGCTCACGCTGAACTATTACTTGAGGGCCTCCAGGGAGAGCAGGGTGCAGGGCCGAGTCCGTAGGGTCCTGACGGCTCGGAGATGGGAGGCCCCTGGTCGATGAGGAAGGGGCAGGGCAGTGAGAAAGGAGGTTGGGGTCTGGAGGAAGGGGCTTCCTGTGATCCACTATTGGTGTGACAGAGAGGAAGGGGAGGACACTCAACGTGTGATCCAGCTGAGGCGAAATGGGGAGACCTATGGGGGGACCCCCCAGGGCACCCCGACCGTGGCCCATCTGGTGAGGGGCTGGGGCTGGGCTGTGTCTTCCAGGCTGTTTGTCCCTGAGCGGCCCCCGCCACGTGACGGGCACCGTGGGGGGAACCCTGAGCGTGCAGTGTCGGTACCAGGAGAAGTACGCGGAAAATAAGAAATACTGGTGCAGAAACCCATGTTTCATACTGAGGAGGAGCAAGATTGTGGAGACCACGGAGGCAGAGAGAGAAGTGAGGACGGGCCGCGTGTCCATCAGGGACGATCCAGCAAACCTCACCTTCACAGTGACCTTGAAGAACCTCAAAAAGGATGATGCTGACACATACTGGTGTGGGATCGACGCATCAGTCTTCCAAAACTTTGTGGACCCCACCTTCGAGGTTGTGGTGACTGTGTCCCCAGGTGAGCAGCAGCACCCTCGCCTGGTCCCAGCTCCAGGCTGCCGAAGAGTCAGGTGGGAATAAACGAGGCAGGGATCAAATCAGAGACCCAGAGCAAACGACGTGTGCATGCGTGCGCGCGCGTGTGTGTATGTGTGTGTGGAGAGAGAGGGAGAGACACTGGGGGGCTTCATGGAGGAGCAGGTGAGTCTTGAGGAACGGATGGGAAGGTGCTTGCCAGGCAAAGGGCACGCTGAGAGAGCCAAGTGTGCAAGGGAGAGAGGAGGGGAGAGGCGAGCCATGGGTCAGCCCCGCAGAAGCCCAGGGCTGCGTGGGGGGAGGCTGGGAGCTGAGGGGGCCAGGCGCCGTGGGAACGCTAACAAGTGACGTGTCAGATTTGCAGCGAGGCAGACCCCCCGGCAGGCAGCACGTGGCAGTGGCTGGAGGGGGACGAGACAGGCTGCGGAGGTAACTCAGGGCCTCTGTGGAGGCCGTGACCCTCCCGGGCAGGATGGAATCAGGACTCTTGGGGACAGTACCCGCCTCCTATTAGGAGAAGCGCGCTTGGCTCAGGGCGGTGCTGGGGAGACTCTGGCCACGCTGAGTGAGCATTTTGTGCGAAGTCAAACCAAAAAGGCTTTGGCCCTGGTGGGAGAACCAGAAGAGAGGCCCCCGGGTCTGATTTGTGTTTCTGTGCCAGCATCATCGTCGTCTGTCGATTCCATTGCTTCCAAGACCTCAACAATCCCAATCACCACGACCCCGATTCCAGGTGTGCCCATAACTCCAGACACAGTGAATGTCACCAACAGCCTGGACTGCTCGGACAGCACGGACAGCCCGCATGACTCTCAGCCGAGCCAAGGGTAAGGTCCCTGTGTCCTGGAGGGGAGCGCAGGGCGGCCCCCTCCTTCCAGGCGGGCCGGAGCCCCCGCTGCCCTTGGCCAGGCCCCGGCCCGAAGCCGCGATGTCTCCCAGCTTGGGCTCTTGAGTCCACGCCGGACCTGCCCTGGGGTCTGAGAGAAGCTTCTCGGGGTGTCACGCCGCCAGGCACGGCGGACTGCCTTCCTGCATGACCCCGCAGGCTCCTCTGCCCTCTGCCTCGCTGCTCTCACCTCACAGAGGAACAAACAGGCTCGGAGCCTGTTTTCCAGGTCCCGCTGCCACAGAAGGCAGCCTGGGCACGGCTCTGTGAGTCTAGTCTTAGGCTCTTCCTTCTGAACAAGGGCTTCTTGACTTTTGGGGGGGGTGGGGGGATTACAAACCCCAGGAGAATCTGACCAGGAAAATGCATGCTGCCCTAAACCATCTCTGGGGTTCACAGACACCTGCTGGTGTCCCCTGATTCAGTCCCGGCACTGACCCCTGGGGTGGCACAGACCCCACAGGTTAAGGGTTCGGTCCCATGGGGCTGCCTGCTTCCAACATCAGAGCGCTTCAGGGTCCCCAGGCCACTGCACTTCTGACCAACTGGCTACAAATTCAGGGGGGCCCCTAACCCCCTTGGCTTTGATAATTGGTTAGATCGCTGATAGAATGCAAGAAAGCCCTATAGTTCCAGGAGCAGCTTTGCATAAAGGATGAAGGCCGGGACCGGCCTAATGAGGCAACCCGGAGGGTTCCGGAGGCAGAGCTTCCGCGCCCTCTCCCATGGAGCTGGGGTGCACCTCCCTCCTGGATCACCAAGGTGTCTGACAACTGGGGAGCTCCCTCAAACTCTGGTGTCTACGGTTTTTTATTTGGGTTTCATTGCCTAAATGGATTGATTGAACCACTGACCGCGTGTGTGAACTCAGTCCCCAGCCCCCACCACGCCCCGAAGGTCAGGCTGGCTCAGAGCCCCAACCTCCAATCCCACAGTTGTCTCTCCTGGTGATCGGCCGCCATCCTGAGTCGTCTCGTCTCACGGCGTAATCTCCCGGGCGACGCAAGGGGTTGGCGAATCACGGGAGGAATCCCGCGGGTCGAGGGCCTCCCTCCCCGGAGCTGGGCGCAAGGGCAGTCAGGCTGTTCACTACGGCCCTTCCACGAGCCCACCGCTGTGACCGCCTTCACACCCGGCAGGGCGGAAGCCGGGTCCCAAACACACCACATCCGGGACGGGCTCTGCAGGGCAGCCAGCGCTCGCTGCTGAGGGCCTGACGCCTCGGCAGTCTGCGGGGAGGGCAGGTGCAGCTTTGACAGCGACGGGAACAGTCTGAAGGCCAACGAGGGGTGCAAGGAAGGGCCCAAAGGAGGGAGGGGCCCAGGCCCTAACTCGCGCCAGCCAGTCTGCTGCGGCCTGTCCATGTGTGTCATGGATGGAGCTACAGGTGGTTTCTCGCAGGGGTATTTGTCACTGCAAAAGACGGGGAAATGTCCAGGAGGAGGGACAAGTTAAATAAACAATGGTCTGTCCATTCAGGCAACAGAACACTGTGAGGCTGTAAAACAGAGTGGGGGACTGTTATACGTACCGACGTGGAAAGTGCTCCAAGCTGTAGCGTCTTCTGTTTGTCTTTTCCCATCCTCTCAAAGTCCAAGATGCATAGTGTTATTTATTTTTAGAGAAAGGGGAAGGGAGGGAGGGGAAGAGGGAGGGAAAGAGCGATGTGAGAGAGAAACATCAACCAGCTGCCTCTCCTCCGCACCCCAAGCAGGATGAGCCTGCAGCCCAGGCCTGTGCCCTGACGGTGAACAGAACCGGCGACCCTTCACTTTGTGGGACGATGCCCGGCCCACTGAGCTACACCGGTCAGGGCCCGGGAAAGCACAGTTAAGCAAAACACTAGTGTCTATACTGTGCTTTGTTTGTGTGAAAAAAAGAAGGAAAATAGCGTGCATTCCCATTTTTTTTTTGTATCTGAATTAAAAACCAGTAGGTTCTTAGGTACACTGCGTGTGTGGGACGGGGAATTGGGCAGGTGAGGGAATGTGTGGAGAGACGGTCTCCTGTTTGCTTGGCTTTTTATGTGACCTTATGCATCTGTTGAAACACAGGGGGAAGGCAGGACCCCTGCCCTACCCTGCCCCGTCCTTGTCGCCCTGCAGGCTCCCTGTGCTGCTCTCCTTGTTGGTGCTTCTGTTGCTCCTCCTGGCGGGGACCTCACTGCTGGCATGGAGGATGGTTCAGAGGCGGAACAAAGGTGATTTAGCTCCCTGTCCCTCTGCTCGTCACCCCAGGGCAGGCATCGAATGCATGTCCTCAGGCCGCATATCCTAGGTGACCCTAGAAGGTGCACCCAGAGCAGGAGACCCTGGTATGGTGCACACAGGCTATGGGAGGTGGGTTCCCATGGGGCCTTGGAGGGCGGTTGCTCCGTGAAGCCATGTTCCGCTCCTGTTAAGACCCTTCAGTGACCTGCGTCCTCAGATGTCTAGGCTCCTACAGGACAGTCTCGACCCTCCACAGTCTGGCTCTGCCCACCCCTCCCTCCCGTCCTTCCACCCTAAAAGGTAAACATTTCCACCTTCCTGTCAGTGGCCAAGGCCATGGGGCCAGACTCGCCTTCTGTGCTCGCAGGGCTCGGTCCTCGGCCCGCTATCTCTGCCTCACTCCTGGTGGGCCCTACGGGCTGTCCTTAGACTTCCTTTCCTCTGGGACCTTTTCCTGGCCCCCAAAGAGTAACCTGGGGGCCCTCCTGGGTGCACCCCTGTGCCCACACCATCATAGTCCCTTTTACAAAATCGGCACCAACTGCCTTCTTGCCCGCCTCCTGCCAGCTCACGCAGACCCTTAAGATCAGGGACCATGACTCGAGAAGGCACACAGTAGTGTTTGTTAAATTAATGTGTCAATATTATTTGATATGGTCAGCTGCAATGGGCACCCAGGAAGCTCCGGGGTCCTGTGGTCCATTGGCTCTCTTCTGAGCTCAGATTAAATGAGACCACGCGTCGGGTGCACGCAGCACCCAGCTGGGCACTCAGAGTGGATGTTCAGTAACCACTGGGTGAGTGAGTTGAGTAAGAACGACGTGCCTTCCCGCTCTTGGCTGGAGGCCCGCTGTCGCATGCAAGTGAGCAGACTTCGGCCTGCGACACGGTGGGAGCCTGGCATTTCCTCCCCGGCCTGCGAGTTTTCTTGATTTCTTGAGTAGAGGGCTCTTTAGGAAATCTTTGTGCTCAGCCTTTTAAGGGCTGCAGTGAGATTGGGGGGAGGGGGGAGGGCGCGCCTCCCTCCACTGCTGCCGCACTGCTCACTGGGAGCCCGTACGCGCTGGCGGCCACGTTGGAGGACCACTGCCTTCAGCTCTCCAGCCCCTCTGCCCCTCCAAGGGCCCGGAGCCTCCCCGCCCCACAGCATGGCCCAGGCTTTTGGGAGCAGAATGGGAGTCAGCCAGTTCCTCTTCCCCTTCTGCCGTTCCCACGTCATTTCCCGGTACTCTCCTTTTAAACTTCAGCCCACAAGCGGTTGCTGCCTACCATGTGGGGTTTTTCCAGCCTGGGTTGCCTCAGATCTGTGGGTCCCGAGGATGTTGCAGTGCCCTTTCACCCAGAAAAGTTCCTCCTTTTAAAAAAAGGGATATGTGATTGTTGTAGAAAATTCAAAAGTGAAAACACCAAAGAGGAAATAAATTAACTATAATAAACAAAAACTAAAATTCCCATCTCCCAGAGAAAACCAATCACATTTTAGGCATGTCCTTCCAGTCTTGTGTTTTTTTTTTATGCCTATTTATGCACATATTTCTTAAAATGTTGCTTCATACCATTATTTCTCTTTTAAACTGGTTTTTATTTTATTTATTTATTGCAGTTAATTGATTGTGTTACCTTCCCTGTGACAAAAGATGGGCTTTCTGTTTAAACGTCCCGGCTCTCCCTCCCAGGCTCTGCAGGCTCAGCTCCTGTCTCCTGACCGCGTCTGGGCTGTCTTCCCATGGTCCCCACTCCTCTCCCCTCAGCCTCTCCAGTTCTTCCCTTCAGCCCGTTCTCCTCATTCATTCACGCACTCACTCATTCATTCATTCATTCATGCATGCACACATGCATTCGCTCGCTCACTCCCACAGCGAAGCTGTCCTGAGCACCTGTGTGCGCTGGGCCCTGTGCTGGGGGATGGGGGTCACTGCCGTTGCCAGGGCAGACTGCGTTCCACCGTCCAGCTGGCTATTGCTGAACTTCCTCAGTGCCACCTTCCTTCCCAAGCCGTGTGCTCCCCCCTCCTCGCCCCTGCTCTTTCCGTCCTTCCCATCAGCACGCCTGGCCCCACCGAGGTGTGTGGGCGGTGTGGGACCTGTGTGCAGTACCTGGAGTAGAAGGTGTTCACGCCTCCGGTGCCAGGGTGCGGGTTCTGTCAATATGACTGAGCGGGCGCAGCAGATGCGCCTGTTGTACGTGATCTTGCGTCTCTGACTGTGGGTATTTCATCACTGGCTTGGGGGTCCTTGTGGGGTGGACAGTGTATCTGCGGCATCCAGTGCAGACTCAGGGGTGCCTGCCCCAAGGGCGCTCCCACTGGGTGCACGTGGTGGCTGCCCGTCGCTCCGGGCCCGGGCTGGAAGGGCCGGGGCGCTCCGAGGCAGGGCTCCTGCAGAGCCACACTGCAGGTAGGTGCCGAAGGGGTGGCCCGTGGCCCTGAGCTGTGACCCTGCTGAGCTCCTGGGCCTCCTGAGTGTGAGGGGCAGACCACGCCCTGGCCCGGTGTGGGGGAGAGGGACACCGGAGGGCGGAGACCCTGCTGAGGTTTGGTCTCGTGCAGTCCTAGGTCTTTTCAAGCACACTTCCTTCTATTTTTTTTTTAACTTAAAAAAATTTAGGGCTTTTTCAAGACCGATCGCTAAACCCTATCCCCAGCGCTTCTGATTCAGTACGTCTGGGGCGGGGCCTATGGATCTGCATTTTTTTTTTCATCGTGATTAAAAGCACAAGACAGGATATTTGCCATCCTAACCATTTTTAAGTTTACAGTTCAGTAGTGTTAAGTATATTCACATTGTTGGCAAGGAGGTCTCCAGAGCCCTTCCACCCTGTCGGCTGCGCCTCTCGCACGGCCTCCCGCCTCTCCTGGGGATGTTCTCTAGGCGTTGAGACCAGCTTTGCTTGCCCCTCTCCCCAGCTGCCGCCTTCCTTTCTCTCCCCTTCCCCCTCCCCCTCCCCTCCCCCCTCCCTCCCCCCTCCCTCCCTATTGCACCTGCTGAACAAACCCTTGAGATCCAGCCATCATGCGGACCTGAAGGGAAAAACCTTTGTCCAGATGGATCACAGGGACCCCCATCCTTGCCTTGTTCTGGGACAAACCTCCTCACTCTCCCCTTGTCTCTTTAGCTGGTGAGAACCCAGAGCCATCCCAGAACCCTGGGGAGGTAAGAACGGCCACCGAGAGGAGTGTTGGTGACTGGGCGGGGCACAGGGGCCTTGTGGTTGGGCTGTCCCTTCAGCGAGTGGAGGTCTGGGTGGGTCATCGGTGGAGGAGCGGGGTGCTCGCCCAGAGCAGGAAGAACCATGCCTGGGAGATGGGGTCCCTGGGGCTTGTCTTGAGCTCTGGCCAGTCTGTCCCCACTGCCTGCCACTGCCCAGGAAGGCGGAATGAGGAAGGGTTCTTCCGGCCTGGCCACTGGCCTGGGGAGCATTCACACATTGCCCGGGGAGGACCGGCGTTGGGGGGAGGCAGGGCAGGACGCTGCGCCTGGGGCCCCCAGAGCACGGAGGGGAGGGGGACGTCCGCAGAGAAGCAGGGGCAGAGGCCCCTCCGGGATGGACCGTGGAGGGGCTCCGCGGACCGTGGCCAAGCCCCACGCTCCTGCCCACCCCAGGCTGACGAGCAGAGCGAGCCCTGCTATGCCAATTTGGAGCTGCAGACCTGGTCCCCTCTGGAGAAGCCCGTGCGATCAGAGCAGGTGGAGGTGGAATACAGCACAGTGGTAAGTGGGGGTTCCTGGCTCCGGGGACCCAGGCTGCCAGAGGCGTCCCCTTGGGGGTGGCTTGGCAATCTTATGTCTTTTTAGGACGGAGCCACGCAGGAAATAGGGCAGGTGTAGATTTTGCCAGAGCTTGGTGCCGTTGCAGCGGGGCGTGGGGGTGGAGGCTGGGACGTGGAGGGGCTCTTCAGGTGACCAGTGACGATGGCCCTAATAGCTAATACAGGACAGCTTCCATTAAGCGCCTACACGTACCGAGGACCCACAGCTAAAGCCCGTGATGTCTCACTGTCTGGTCCCATCACCTCCCTGGCACCGAGTCTGCGTCTCAGGTTTTCATCAACGGTCCGCTGCAGGTCAGGCCCTGGGCAGAGCCACTGGAAGGTGAAGCAGTGAAAGAAATCCCCCAGGGCCCCTCCAGCTGGCCCTCCCTGCCCTTAGTGAAAGGGGCAGCAGAGGCCAAGGACCACTTGGTGGAGAAGCTGGTGAAGAGATTTAAGCATCAGACAGGCGGCCCTGGGCCTACAACACCCTGGCTTCTCCAGCTCAGGGGCTAATGTTCTCAGAGCGGACCTTGGGGACCCCGGCTCTGAGGCCTGGGACTGGGCGCTTGACTGGGTGGGGTGGAGCAGGCGGGAGGACAGGGTCTCAGAGTCCAGTCCCTCTAGAAGGAAGAGGGCAGGACAGTGGGGAAGACTGGAGCCCCCCGTGGAGCCTCCCGTGGCCCCCCAGGTGTCCCCGCTCCTCTCCTGGGCTGGAGTCCGTGACTTCCCGACCTCTCCCTGAGTCTCGGGTGCCTCTCCCAGCAGGCCCCCCACATAGAGCCTCAGTACACCATGGTGGTGTTCAACTCCCAGAATCAGGATTCTAAGGACTACAGGGCTCCCCGCGAGAGCACCTGCCAGCCGGAGCCGGAGTACAGCGAGATTGAGAAGACATAATCCCGTCTCCAGCCTCGACACCTGGAGGGCTCTGTGGGCTCCAGGGAGCCCAGGCCCGGCCCCTCTGCCTCACCGCCACCCCCAGCCCCCTCAGCCAGCTCCCCTCCGTGGTGATCGACAAGGCAGCTGGGCTCCTGCGGGCTGCCCCTCTTGCGCTGGGGATATGCGGGACGCCCTCCCACCCGGCTGGCTGTTGTCACGTCTCTCCCCTTTCTCTCTGCCTCATCGCCGCCATGTGTGAGATGCAAGCCCAGTCGCGTGGGAGGCCTGGAAAAGCTGTGGCTCACACAGGATGTCTGCGCTTGCCAAGGAGAGGGGGAACCGGCGGGGAGCCGGAGGTCGCCCGGGCAGCGAGATGGGGACCTTCATCCCCAAGACGGGAGATGGTGGCCCGAGGAGAGGCACGCCCGTGGCTCCAGGACAAGCAGCAGGCAGCGTCCTCAGCTCCCCTGGACTCGTACAGAGACTTATTTTTCATATATGAGATATCAATAAAGTTAATATCTGAAGAGAGAAATTATTTAAACAGTGCTTGCTACACATTTTATACATCTGTGATCCTGTGTTAAAGAACGCTTCTGCCTTTGATCTCCAACGAGCACAGAGAAGCTGGAGGATCCAAGGGGTTGGGGACATCCTGAGAGACGTCATCGCTGGGCGGGAAAGGGGCAGTCACAGCTCCTTCTCTCCTCGCGGGGGGACTCCAGACTTGCAGCAAACAGTCCCAGCTCTCCTCCGCCGCCCTCTCCACTGTGCAAAGTCTCAGGGGTTTTGCTCCCAACTCTTAACAATGTTTTGATCCATCAAAAATAAACAGTAGTTCAAAGCAAGGAGTGTATTTCACTGAAGTCAGAGGTTGCTTTGTTTCTTTAACCATTGACCTTAAAACCAAATTGTGCCCTTTGGACAGTTTTCTCAGATGTGGGCCCACAGCTTTCAGAAGACTCTTCAAGGGATAAGAGGCCCCCAGAGGGTGGATAGACAGTCTCTGGTTTTTATCTTCTTTAGATTTTTAATGATTTCTCCCCAGTGTGAGTCATCCCCAGTACTTCCTCTCTCTCTCCCTTTTATTTAAAATATTTATTTATTTATTTTTAGAGAGGGGGAAGGGAGGGAGTAAGGGAGGAAGAGGAACATCCGTGTGTGGTTGCCTCTTGTGCACCCCGTACTGGGGACCTGGCCCGCAACCCTGGCATGTGGCCTGACTGGGAATCGAACCGGCGACCCTTTGGTTCGCAGGCCGGTGTTCAGTCCACTGAGCCACACCAGCCAGGGCCCTCTCTCTTTTTACTACTGTTCTGAGATGCAAAAGGAGAAGACACATACACATATAGACACACACAGACACACACATAGATGTGGACACAAACGCACGAAAACAAAAGAGAAAGTACTTTCCTTTTGAAATGCTAACCGGTGGCTTTTTGTTGTTCTTAGTAGTTCCTCCTAGTCCACTCACACACTCATGCCACTGGGCTCACTCCCTCATTGCTCCAGAGAAAGTATGATGCAAAAGGATGCAGGGGGAGTCCTTTCCTTTGCGGTTTCCAAGCCTTTGTTGGAAGAGGAAGAAAGGCTTGAACCGGACTTGGAGTTGCCCAGAGAGGCAGCGCCGACCTGCAAGGTGCACAGGCCGCAGGCGGGTGTCAGCTCAGGGGGTTCGCTGGTCTCAGCGGAGAGGGGCAGAGGGTGGAAGAAGGCTTGGTACAGAGAACATAAAGCATCTCATTGATCATCTGACACTACGATGGCATGTTGAATGATAATATTTTGGCTATAGTGGAGTAAATAAAATACACTTCTAGAACCAATTTCATTGCTGCTTTCTTTTCTTCTTCTTTCCAGGGGAATGAGGTTTATTCATCCAGTGGAATACTTAACAGGAGTGACAATAGATCCAACTTGATAATGGCTCCACCTTGGAGCAAGAAGTAGGGACTGAACGGCTGTGTGTCTCCACCCTGTGGCCACATCCGGAATCACACATCCTTAAACCCCAGCTGGTCTTACCGCTTCAGTAGGCAGGACAGTGTAGAAGAATTCTGTTTTCTCCAGGTCAATGCAGCGGAGCAGGAGAAGGCCTGAAATGGGGGAAGGGGCGTGAAACCTCCCCCTCAGCTTGGCAGTACCCCTACCACCCACCCAGTGGATGCCATTGTGCGGAGAAAAAAACTCAGTTTCTCCCCAACCTCGAGTTCCCTTGTTTCATACCCAACTGACTCCTCCTCCCTGTTTCTGGATTCTCCCCGCCCCGACTTCAGAACGTCAGAGGAAAGCACAGTCCCCCGGCTGTGGTGGCATAACACATTTGGGGGCAGACAGAATAGGCCCTGAACCCCACCTCTGCCCTTACCAACCGAGGGGCGGGGCTGTCATTCGAGGCCACCTGAGTCTCAGTCTCCTTATCCATGACCAACGGTGGCCCCGTGGCCCTTCAGTGCTTCCTCCCTTGCCAGGCTCAGAAGCAGACACTTTCATTTTCTGGGAAGTATTTTCGAAGTGTTTTTTTTTTTTTTTTTTTTTTTTAAGATTTTACTTATTTATGTTTAGAGAGAGGGGAAGGGAGAGAAACATCAGCCGACTGGCTCTCACACGCCCCGAGCAGGGGATCAGGCCCGCAACCCAGCACGTACCCTGACTGGGAAGGGAACCATCGACCCTTCTCTTCGGGGGATGACTCTTAAGCAACTGAGCCACACCAGTCAGGTCTGGGAAGTGTTTTTAAATGTTTTATCAACACTTACCTACCTGTCAGTAGGGGGAAACATCCAGGAAAATTCTTGAAGAGATTAGTTGCATTAGAAGCAAGCTCTTTCGAAAGGCTCTCACCCCAGCCCTACCCCCACCCCCGCTCCAGGTGGTTTTGCTGCCTCTGAGACTTTCTGGGCCGACTCTGACTTACCGCTCTTCCCAGCTCCCTCGAATTGGACCCTTGGGACGCTCCCCTTTGCCCTACATGCTGCAAATCTGGGCCACCTGTGGCAAATGAACCCACACGATAGACAGGTCTAACGCCAGGTCAAGGGCAAAAGCTGAGGGCGAGTAACCAGTCACTCTCTGCCGGTCAAACCCAGCAACACGCGCAGGTTGCTTGCAGGCTGAGGTGACCTCAGCTGCCCTATGCAAGCTGTGATGGCGAGTGTAGTCACAGAGAGACACGGACTGTTTAACAACCAGAGCACGATGCGAGCCCCCTCTAGGCACTGTGTGCAGGCGGGCGAATTAGGGAGGCGAGGGGACAGAGGGACAATGGGTTACAGAAAAGGAGCAGGGAGTTTGATTGGCAGGGCTATGGGGTCGCCTAGCACTCCATGAATGAACTTAAGATCAAAGTCACCTGCAGGTATCGGGTGGCCTAATAGCTCTTCATGTTCGCAAGAGCAGACTGTCCTCACAGTGGCGGACTGGTCTGGGCATTCCACTCGTCATTAGAGGCTCAGACCTGTTCTAAACTTGCCAGGTTGCCAACCTCACAGGCCAGCCCCTGATCTAGAGGCCATCGGATCAGCTGGGGGTGGGGGAGGGGACACACCTGGGCTTGAGTGGGACTTGGCTCTTGGCGGGGCACAGGCTTCTTGTTCTTCCCTCTGCTCTGATGCAGCCAGTGGTGGGGGAGGGGGGGACAGGCTCTGGAGGGAGAGAACAGGCGTCCAGGCAGCAGTCGGGATGGTCCCAGGACCCCAGAGAAGAGGGGGACAAGGGCCCGAAATCTTCTAACCCCAGAACTTCTGCTTTCACCTGGACCCCAGGGTCATGCCGCCAAGTGCTGATGCACATTAGCAAGCACTGGTGACATCATGGTCACGGCGAAGTCCCTGAGAGCACATGGCCTTTGTCACATCTGGCCCTGATCCCGTGGCTTGAGCCACGTTTCAGCTGAAGTGGCAGGCTGCTCGCGACCCCCAGAAGCCTCCCACGTGGTGAGGGGAGCACAGCGTGGCCCATGGAATCCCACCTGCCGCATGCAGGGGCCCCCTCCGACAGGCGGAGGCGCTCAGGGCTCCGGAAGCCGCCGGAGAAGCCGCCCGGAGAAAGCAAGCTGGAGACGCAGCGCCTTCCCACCTGCCCCGGGGCCGCAGACCCCGCAGGGAGCACAGCGGTCCTGGGTGGGGGGGTGGGGAGGACAAAGTCCACCCCAGGAGCTCCCTGTGAAACCTGGCCCGGAAGGCATGCCAATGGCAGGGCCGCCTGCCTTGCCGGGGCTCTGGCTTTGGGAACAGCACCTGCCCCACCTTGGTCGTTGTTCGCAGCTTTCTTCCCGGGGACAGAGCTGTAGGAGTTTGACTTCAGAAGAAGCCACTCTCTGCTTACAGGCAGCTGAGGCAACCAGTCCTCCCAGTTCCAGTTCCCTGATAGAAGCCACACAGCCTGGTCTGGGATTAGAGAGGCCTGGACCGGGGGCTTCCTGTCCCAACTCAGAGTCAAGGAAAGTCGGGGAAACTGAGGCCAGGAAGCGCAGGACTGCGCCCAAGTCCATGCTGCTTGTGCAGAGCTGGGATTCTGGGCCAGGCTCTAGCCAGACATGAGTCACTTCCTTGGGCTGCGTTGCTTCACCTGTGAATGGAGTTTGAGACACCTTGTGTGCCATCCAGAGCCACTGGAGGAATGGGGGGGCGGGGCGAGATGGCCATGGTGAACGTGGGGCCTGAGCGCGTGCGGCGCGGGGCGCGAACCTGGTACACAGTGCTACTGTCAAACGACGATATGCGCCCCCCGCCCCCCGCCCCCACACGGTCAACTCTTTCTGACTCCCTTGCATGGGTTTGTCTCCTTTCTGGTGGATTTTACCTTCAGCACTCGGTGCGACTCGGTGACGTCAGGCGGCGGTGACGCTGAGGAGGAAGTGAAGGAGAATGTGCGTGGGCAGCGTGAGGGTCCAGGGCCCCGCAGATGGGCGGATGTGCCTGCCCCTGCGGTGGCCGTGGGACCCTGGCTTCGTCTGGTGGGACCAATCCCCCCAGAGCTTTCGAGGTGGGTGGAGTTAGATGATGCAGAGGCGTCTTGGCGTGGCTTGTGCCCAGGGCTGGTCCTGGTCCTCGCCAGTGTGGCACCTGAACTCCACCCACACAAGCAGAGATGCTCAGACTCTACCATAACTCAGGCGAGGCATTTGGGGGACATTCTTCTCCAGGGACCGGATGCCTGTGACCCGCGTCC